GCTGCCTCTGGTTTATGTGGCGCTGCCTATGGTCTACGTGGCATGCTGATGTGGCGCTGCCTCTGGTATAAGTGGCGCTGCCTGTGGTCTACATGGCATGCTGATGTGGCACTGCCTCTGGTATATGTGGCGCTGCCCATGGTCTACGTGGTATGATGATGTGGCGCTGCTCCTGTCTAYGTGGCGCTGTTCTTGGTCTTCATTAATGATGTGGCATATGCCACCWGTCTCGTCTGCTGAAGTGCCATTGTCCACACTACTTACATGAGGTGACTGGTTGCGAGGGAGAGTAAGATCAGGGCTGTGGAGAGATCGTGATACGTACCTGGTGGTCTTCATGATGACATTGCTCCAGCGCTGATGAGGGACTAATTAGAAGTGCCCCGTGGCACATTGAAATTACTTCAGATACTCGTTCAGACTGTTGATTACTAAAGTGGAGTTGGAGGAGGGAGCCCGAAGCAGGACTGGGCATTGTATTTACTTCCTCTCCTTTGTCTATCCTCCCTCCTCTCTTCTTCATCTGTGAATGATTATCTCGTCTTATTCTGTCTGGACACTATCTTGATTATTGGTTCTCATCAGCTGTTGATATCTATCTGGACTTGCATTGTCGACAACTGTGTTCACGATCTGGGTTCATTACANCTGGACACTATCTTGATTATTGGTTCTCATCAGCTGTTGATATCTATCTGGACTTGCATTGTCGACAACTGTGTTCACGATCTGGGTTCATTACAATTTGATATCGGAGCATCTCTTCATCGCGATCTGCTGTCTGCTGACAGGTGCTGACGTGGCACCCAGGTAAGTGGGAGGTGCCGCAAGTGCAATATGAAACGCGTTTATTAACGCGCGCGGTCATACCGCAAGTCTAGACATGGTAGTAGTGCACTTGCGAGTAACCGTCCCTTGAAGATGATGACAAGGCTATGCTGAAGCTTGAAGAGCTGTGTTGGCAATAGGCTGACGCGGCATTGGTACCGCTGATGTGGCATATTGTTTCTTGGCAGGATATGGTCTGACGTGGCACATATCTGTGCCGTGGTTACCTGCTGATTGGGCATTGACGCGGCATGCCAGTGTATGCGTGTGACAAGCACACATTGCTGGCGTGGCATCCCCCTTGTATACCTCCGGGTCCTTGATGTGCTGGCAGACTCCAACGAGCTGCTGTGTTGGCATGCCAAGGGTGACACGTGGCATGTGTTGGGTGAGTTGTCGAGTGTGTTGGTCGCTGCAGACAGTACAGCTATAGAAAGAGGAGGCTGACCATTGTTTGTGATTGTTGTGTTGGTTTCCTACTAACCTGCTGGCTGTTCTGTGGTGTCCTTGCATACTCACCGGTGTGCTGATGTCTTGATCGCACTGGCCGTGGCTGCGGTACCTGCACATACACGGTAGAACGTCATCACACATAGACTAGGAAAATCAGACAGCAAACTAGTATTAGAAAATTGATAATATCTGTTTCTTTGTATTTGCCTTCAACAATTCTTGCTGTAAGAATAGCGTGCGTCGTGGAATTTATTTTGGTGCGGCATCTGCACGCTTGGCAAAATGCATTCTCTTTGGAAATGTCTGCGTGCCTCTATCCTGACTCGGTTCATACCGCTCTTCTTCTTTCCCATCCCTCTCACAGTCTTTGCCAATGAAGAGGGACTGGAACTGAAAACTCGCGGTCAGATTGATGGAAGGAGACGGACTCTGTTGGGTCTCCTTCGCCAGCTGCTCGGTGAAATACATGGTGCCGGTCCAGAGGCTGAACAACATGTTCACGGACAGGTCAAACTGCTTGATGCAGAGAGAGACCTGCAGACCGCTGAAACTGCTGTTCAGATGATGGAGACAGGCAAGAGGGTAGAAAACCTCATAAGACAAGGACGAATGGTCCTTGATCGGTACGTCGCCGAGAGCCTTGAAAAGTTAGACCAGGAAAGAACCGAAAGAAAAGGAAAGAAAGAAGAAATGGTTGAAAGGAGAGAACCGCAATTGTCTATGGATGTGATGGAGGAAAACATCAGACAACTAGAGAATACATTGAAAGAAGAGAGAAGGAAAGTTGAAGAATACAGGAGACTCAGCAAGAGGAAGAAGAAAAGGTAATGGAAATGTTGAGGGAAAAATTTCATTATGAAGAAGCAGGAAGTGAGGTGGCATCTATTCTTCAGTCTATTATGGTTTACCTCGTTCATCTCGAGAAGAAGATTGACCACAACACCACCGCCATTGAATCTATGACGAGAATGATAAAAGGGAAAGATAAGGTGTTGATTGAGGAGGTGTCCAAGGGGGAAGAAGATAGGAAACCCTAGGAGAAACTAATGAAGGATGCAATGAAACGGGTCACGCCCGAGAAACCGGAAGGTTCCAAGAAAGAACCTGAGAAGCCGGATGAAAAGAAAGAAGAACCCACCAGAAAGAAAGAAGAACCCACCAGAAAGAAAGAAGCGGAAAAACCCAAACAAAAAGAAAAGGTGAAAATTAAGTTACCATTCACCTACAGTAACAAGAAGGATGAAAACTTGTTGTTGTGGATTGCCGAAATCCAGACTTACTGTAGTACCGCGCCCGTGGAACCCTAGAGTCAGGTTGCTTTCTCAACGTCTTGTTTCGGAGGAGTGGTCAAGGAATGGCTGCTGGCCGAGGCCAATGCCGCTGGCTTTGAGGATATTGGTGAGTGGGCAAAGACCCTGACATTGAGGCAATTTCTCCAAAAGATAAAGGAGAGGTTCCTTGACAAAACGACGACCGATAAGGCTTTTGACGAGCTCACCACCATTAGCCAGAAACGTTGGACTTCTGTCGATGCGTTGTCTCGTGAAGTTGATCGTTTGTTGCAAGTACCTGGATTGAATTTGAAGGATAACCAGGTCCTATACATTTACTCACGAGCGTTGTCCTATCGGCAGTTCCGCGACCTTGCTCTTCAGAGAGAGCAGATGACCGCACAGGTCAAAGGTTCGTATGCTTCGGTTGTCAAGTCATGACCGATTGGTGGGTACGGCAAGCGGGTCCTTTGGCGGCAAAAGCGCCAGGACCATATGCTTGTGTTGTTCGACGACGAAATAGTAGAGAAGTTACCTCTTGACAAGTCTGAGGGAGGAGGAGGTAACAGCGACAGTGAATCTGGGAAGGGTGATGTCACTGCCGTAATGGCCAACAGGGGAGGCCAAAACCAGTGGAAGAAGAAGAGGCCACGCTCGTTTCCCGAGCGTCCCGACATTGCGTTCGGGAGACCTTGGGAAAAGATGAACATGACTAGGGAGGAATGGCAGTCCAAGATGGACAACCGCCAGTGCCTCAAGTGTGGCACCGTGGGGCATATGATCGCTTGGTGCCCACTTATCCGTAACCCAAAAGCGAGCAGCTAGTAGGGGTAGCATCTGCTCCTACTGAGTCGACGGGTATAAACGAAGAAAAAGGTAAGGCGCCTACAACCCCTTCTACCCCTTCGACTCTCAAGGCAGAGGATGGCTCTTCTTCCGCCCGTCGGCCAGACCACCCTGACACTGTGCTATGTTCTGTATCACTCGACGATTCCCTTGACGAACTCGACAATGAACTGATAGCACTACGGAGTTTGTGGGCGAAGAAAGCAAAATCAAAGGGTGAGTTAATGATCGCGGATGTTGAGATTGCGCACACACGAGTAGGTGCTCTGTTAGATCCAGGATCGACGCGGTCTTATATCTCAGAGAAGACAATTCAAAAATTGCATCTGGGAATGAAGGTAAAAGATTTACCTAGACCTATCACGTCTATACTGGCTGATAAGAGCACGATCACTGTCTCTTTATACGTCGATCGTGTCAAGTGCTATTTCAGGACAAAGGAAGGTAAGAGAATTCTACACAAGGTATCCTTCCTAATTGAAAAAAAATTACCCTTTGACTTAATTCAGGGTATGGATTGG